TTAAAAATCTAAATTACTTAAAAGGTCTATACAATAATCACAGTTAAGCAAATATTAAAATATTACACGAGTTTAAATATTTTAATCTTTAAAAAACAATTATTACTATTTCTATTTTGTAMAGTGAACATTAAGTAAATAATTTTAWTTTTACTATACCTAATATTTTAGACAAGAATATTTTTATAAGAATAAGTCTACGTGAATCATTTATAAGTGTATGAATTTCTACAAAATTAATATTTTTACACGGATTTTATTAAAAATGAAACTTTTATCTTTGTTGATATCTATAATTTCATTATATTATGCAGATAACTATTTAATATTTTCACATAGAAAAAACCTTAAAAACTTAAATTTTGATGCAATTATATAATAATGTACACTATACATACCGTACGTCGTTAGTCGTTACTTTATGCTGTTAAATCATTTGATAAAACTGAACGTTAAATTTTTTATTATTTATCATAGAAAGAACAATGATTTAATAAAATGTTATCACTTTTCCTGCTTGCATATTATGACTCTCGTTACCGAAATACGACAAATAGCAAATTGCAAATAATTAYGAACTTAATGCTGCGTTTTATTACAATTCGGAAAAATAGAAATCGATAGTCGGTACATCTGAATCTGCGTAAGTATATAGGTAACCTTATATAAATAAGTRCCAGTATCTAACCGTATTAAATTCACAATAAATGGTACTTCAGAACAGGATATGCTCAGAAAATGTATTTACTCGCGTTTATATATACATGTATAATAATATAATATAAATGTATTATATAACTGAATCGGGGCGAGTACAAACCGAAGATTGAATAAGCCGATTTCTGGAATCTCGTCGTCGAAAATAGCGTTGACAAATGCCACACTTTGATAACCGTTGAAAGCGTTATTTATAGTCGTAATAAAAAGGCTTAACGGAAATGAACTGCAAAGATGATGATAAAATATATACATATAATATGTATACGCCCGATGGCCAGAATGATGATGGATTTCCGCCGTCACATCCTGCAGTATGAACGTTGTAATCGTCTATAYAATTCAACGAAATATTTTAACATTTCAAGAAATCRCGGTCGATTGTTGATTAAACTTATTGCTRATGTTCCTTCGAATATCAGTCAATCCGTGCCTGAGAAACACGTGCGAAATGTCGTAAATTCGTGATACACACTTTACAGAGATGTTGGTGTGTTCAGAAATTCAGAATCTTCGCATTTCAATGATAATAATTTATCTTTTTGCTAAAGTAAATTTTAACATTACAAACTAATTTTATGCTTATAAGTTATTACAATCTTAAACAGAAATAACAAATTCAACAAAGAAAGATAAATACAGGAATGCATGATACAAAAATGTAGATTCTAGAAACTATACGTACATTTAATGCACTATAAAATTAGATGTAACTGCAATATGTATTGTATTTAGAACAGTCGTTGATGCATTTTAACATCAAGAAAATATGAATTATACACACACAAATGTACATTGAAGTGTCGTGCCGCCGCCGCCAGCTGCCTTTAAGAACCAGGAAACAAACGGAGCGTCTAGTCGAACAGCAAGTAACAATAGAGCTAACAATTATACATAGGTATTATCCAATTATTTATTGCAATAAACTCGTTTTGGCGGAATTTTGTTGCAGTCGCGACGCATACCAGTTRACGCGTTTTCGAGAACAGAAAAGGRAATGTTGATTGAGAAGTTCTTAACCCTAACTAGCGGCGGAGCATGAAAAAATGGCTGTTAGCT